CTATACTTAAATTCATATACCAAATTATTATAGTATTAATTATGTCTATAAAATTAATGAAAATAAAATAATTTGTTAGTTTGTTTAAGTGTTATACTATTTTGAATGTTCTGAATCCAGCTTAAGGTTATTTTTGGTTGAGTTAATAATGATTTTCAAGCTCAAACTTTAATAAATTCCTAAACATATAATAAAATACAGTAAATATAAAGCTTTTTTAACTTTAAAATCTAACATGAAAGTAAAGGTAAATAATTTATGTGATTAAATTTCAACCGCAATCAATTTTTGAACTTTTTAAAAGTCAAAATTGGGTAACCTTTAAAGAAAGAAATTCATTGAAAACTCCCAAAACTCCAGGAATTCTTTACCAAGAATAAACTTCAAGGAAGTTGGTAGTTCGCTTCCATCTCAAGATTAATCAATTACCAATGAAAGGCCCACACACAGGTGAAAATCCATACCCCCTCGTGGTGTGCATACAACAGATCAATTAGCGCTGCCACATTAAAAGGTTAAAAGTCGTGCACACATTTTTCTGCGAATGCGAATTAATGCTGCCATGAACACACACACACAGACACACATGGTGTGTTGTGGGTCGGGTGTCGTATGGTGTGCGAGGTGTGTGAGGTGTGAGAACTCCTGCTGCTAAAGGTCAACCGGCAATCGGAAACCGCAAATTACCTGCAACAAGTTGAGCTGAAACCGGCTAATTAAACACTGCGACAGTAGCTTCGCAAACTTAACGGTTCCAGTTAAAGCTCCGAGAGGAATTGAGCGCTTGGAATGGAGTCTGTGGCAGCTGACATTTGAGCGAACCCGAAAAAAAGTCTAAACGGGAGCAGAAGCAAATGCCAAAGTTCAATCGGACAATAGCACCAGCAACGGCTTAATTTCTTTCCCATTGTCAAAAGTCCAAGAAGTCGTCCTGTTCACTCATGAATGAAATTCGAGAAGCATGACGTCACGGGAAGCTTTTTTCATTGATAAGCTCTATTCACTTTCCACTCATTCATTTAATTTTCGAATATGCCGCCATTTTTACGCTGCCTTCGTTGACTCTTAACAGCATCAGCGACAGCGACAGAGGCATCGTGAAGCAACAGGAGCAAAAGCAACAGGACATCCCACACATACATATACGCACACGTGCCACCGGAGTCGGGGAAAAGGGCAAAGTACCAGAGTCATGCCCCCCCCCCCAAGATAAATGGAAAGTTCGAGTAGCTACCAGCTATCCTTAGAACAGTGTTTTTAATAATTGGAAAATGGGAATATATGCTGTACATTTTAAGGCAGTTACTTCTTGAATAAATGAATTTACATTAATTTATCACAAAAAATTCATTTAAAAGGGTTTTATGGATTGAAAATACAGATATTGCTGCTTCTTTATTCACATTTTATAGTTTAAACTCATTCAGTACGCGATTTTATAGAATTGAGTCTGTAAAAAGCCTTCAATCTGTTTAAAGGGAAATCAACATGGCGTATACGTAATATATATTAATCATATTATTTATATTTTTCATGACTTAAATATTAAAATATTTAAATAAAATAATATTAAATCTGAAAGATAATATAGAGTACTTTTTATCTAATAATAATAATTTCAAAATTAAGAAATATAGCAACACGGCGTATACGTAATATATTTTTATGATGTTATTTACATTTTTCATGATTTAAATATTGAAATATTTTAATTAAATAATATTAAATCTGAAGGATAATTAAGGGTACTTTTTATCTAATAATAATAATTTCAAAATCAATAAATATTGCAACACGGCGTATACGTAATATATTTTTATGATGGTATTTACATTTTTCATGACTTAAATATTGAAATATTTAAATAAAATCATATTAAATCTGAAGGATAATTAAGGATACTTTTTGATAAATAATAATTTCGAAATTAAGAAATATAGCTTAAACTCTTTAAACTAAATAAAAGTGAACTGTGGTAATTTTTGAAGGAAATATGTGGAAATTTAAAGGTAGTGATGCCTTTTTTATTGTTTACTTGATTTGATTTAATATTTCGAACCCACTGTGCTAAGTTTGCTTTTTGACTAGGTTGCTCCCCCACCAATCAACCCTCTCTCCACCGCCTTTTCCCAGTTAATGGTATCTGACAATGTGGGCGTTTAATCGCATCTTTTAGCAGCATCCTAGTCCGGCATTTCTTACACGCCCCCGCCGGAAAATTGTTTCCACTAGAAAATTGAAGTACAAGTGGAGAACATTTTCTAGATAGAGGCAGGGCAATCAACAGGTCCAGCTTGAATAACTTTAATGTGTTGCTCCTTGATGCCTTGTGGCAGCATCTCCCCAGTCACCGAAATTGAGCACCTGTTTTTCCACCTGCCACTAGCTGTCCCTTCATTATTGTTATTATTGTGCCCTTTTGTTTTATTTGTCAAAAGGGAGGGCGACATGGGGGAGGAGTAGGGCATTCGTAACATTCAGCTTCCATTTTCGTAGCTACCTTTTTGATTGATGCTCGCGACCTCTAACCTTTAAATGTCATCGCAGGGACGAAGCTTCCTGTGTGCAACTCTAATTGCCATTTTCCCCAAAATGCTGTTGCCATTGTGGAGCTAGTGTAGGCGTTTTAGCATTTTGCATGTTTTCTTGGTTTTGTTGCCTTTTTGAAGTTCAGTGTTTTTTGGCCCTTGGAGTGTTTGGATTTCGTGGAATTCCATAACTTTTTGGGTAAATGTCAGTTGTGATAAGTGATAGGTTGCTAACGAAATATTTCATTTTTTGAATAAACAGGTGAACTTCAATAAAGAGAAAAGCTATTTCATCTGATGAATTGTCTGGTAAACACTTAACACTAAGGGGACATAAGGACTTTAAGATATAAAACCTTTAGTACTTTCTTGTAGCTTGAACATATTTTATATTCCTTAATTTTAATACATTACTCAGTGTTCTATTTCAAGAAATAATGTCATTTAATAACAATAATAATCCTGTTCACAATAGTTAAAAATAACTTGATAAAATCCATAACAATATATAATTCCATTTAAGGATGTTCGACTGCCTTACTTACCACTTGGCGAATGAGTAATTAGCATAAATAAAATAAATTCCACTGACTTCGGCATTGTTGTTTAAAGCATCCCACTCAGATAGGAAAATAAATAAATTTAATATTTACAGTGGATCACTTTTATTGGTATTTTAATCGAAGTTAATTGAAGGGTCTTGTACAACTAGGCGTATGATTAATTAGTCATAAATTACTCATACGCCCCGTGATGACGCCAATGGTGGCGAAAAGTGAAAGCGAAAGGCTTATCAAAGCTGATAAGGAAAAATTGTTCAAACATTTGCAATAATGCACAACAATTACGTAGATTTTTGGCAAGTTCAGTGGCAATTTTCCGCTTCTCTTGGTAGTCGCGTTTTCCTTATTTTCCCCGCGCTCTGTGATGCTCAGAGCCTCTCACACTCGCTCTCGCATGCCACCCACAATTGTTGACATTTGCTCTGTTTTAACATTTGCTCGGAATCGGAAATGCGGGCTCCAGCTCTCGGAAAAGTCCACCCACACGATGAGAATAAGAAGGAAAGCTTTAAGTCAAGGGAAACGACTACGAGGTACCCGGTATTCAGTGAACTGGGATTTGTTTTGTATTCAAATTAGTTACACAATTTTCTTGAAATTTGATCAGCTAAAAATCATTTAAAATAGACAAATGTATTTGTAGCAGAACTTAAAATTTATAAAATACATATATATAAAATAATCAATTTGACATATTATATGTTATTACTGACCTTTTCAAACACTTTTCCTTCTCAAAAGCCCCATTTTCCCTGCAATTACAGGGTACAAAAAATTAGGAGAAAATATGAGAGAGAGAGAGAGAGAAAAAGAGAGTGTGTGTGTGCGAGAAAATGTGTGTGGGCCAGGGCCGAGAGACAGATGCTTTAGTACAAATAGGAATCAAAGTTACACGCAGACAGAGACACAGAGTTCGGGCGGCAAATAGATGATGGCCAAAAGCTAAATACAATTTTCAGGCATTTTCCGATGTTTCCGACGCCGCTGCCATCGACGCCGACGCACAAGTTAACAGCGCAGCCGATTTGCCGCTGTTTTCATGAGTGTTTTTTTTTTTTTTTTTGTTACCGATGGCCCGAGTTTTCCCATTTTCATTTTCAATTTTCACCGTTTGCGCCAGTAGCGCTCTGACGGCTCAGCAGCTCGTCTCGCAAAACTTTTGGCAAAATATTATTGAAAAACATTGCCCAAAAAAACCAAATCGCGCGCGTCCAACAGAAATTAATCAAATTCAAAATCATTTTTAAAGATCAAATATATTTATTCAAATAATTTATAAACCTAAAACAAAAAAAATTGTGAATAATGATCGAGGGATATTTTCGACAGTGTTAGAGGTCCCAAAAAATATCAATAACCAAAACATCAAATATATTAAAAGTGCCGACGGCAAATTTTATTATTTCAATATATTGAAATCAATATAAATGTGTATTTTTGATGGTCAATTTAAGGAAATTAAGAAATAATTAAAGCTCTAAGTGTCTTAATGTGATTTTATTGTCTGAGTGTTTATCTACTGTAGTGTTTTTCGAACTCTAAATATTTTATATAAATGTTTTTGGTGTCCTATATACACAAATATATATTTAAAAAAAAATAAGGTGCATATTAAGGTGAAATTTGAATACTAACATTAAACTTGAAACAAATAAATCTATTAAAAAGAAGGTAAAGCCTACTTTAATTTTAACTTAACTAAATGTTTCCTATATTAATAAAATTATTTTCTATTTTCATTTCAGCTTTCAATCAAATACAAGTACAATCAAAGTGAATTCGGCAAGACTGATTTGATCCTTTAGGAAATACAAATTGAAAATAGTGAAAAACCAATCAAACCGCAAACAGAGTACAAAAATGTCTCAATTCCATTCAAGATTAAACGAAAAGTGATCGCGCAGTAAAACCAATGGAGTCTCGGTCAATTCGTGTGTGTTTTAATTTTTGTTTTCAAATAGTTTTGTTTCATTTCCAAACAACCGATCGACGATCAACCACAAAAATGTTGCTGACAATGCGTCGTCAAAATGAACTGATTGTAGGCAGCCAGCAGCATCCATCAACTAATTCCACATCGCCAGCAGGAGCAGCATCTGTTACAGGAGCCACTGCATCGGTGACTCCACCACAGGCAACCCTAGGATTACCAGGACAAAGTCTCAGCTTAGTACCCACCTCGTCGGCGGCAGGAACACCGCAGGATTCGCTCAACACTCCAACCACTCCCCTCCTAAGCCTCAGTCGCAATCCGTTGCAATTCGCACCACCGCCGGCACCACCCATTGCCGTGCCCAGCGCAGCCACTTCAGGACCAGCTTTTGGCTTTTACCAGAGCTCCAGTGGTGCACCACTTCATCATTCCGTGGCGGCCACCACAGCTGAGAGCGGCGGAGCAACCACCTCGGCAGAGTTGGATGAGTACGTGGACATTCTGCAGGTGCAGCAGCTTCTCTTGGACTCATCCGCAGCTGCAGCAGCGGCGGCAAATAATCCTGCAACAACCGAGCAGCAGCAACAGCAGCAGCAGCAGCAACAGCAGCAGCAGCAGCAACAGCATCAAACATTGCAGCAGCAGCAACAATCACAGCAAATCGTTGCCAAGCCGCGACCGCGAATTAACCTGCAAAAGGCCACGGAATATGCCGCTCAATTAGCTCAGGGTAAGGATTTGAGAGTCCCTTTTAAGTCACCACCGATCAGCCAGTATTTAAACCCCTCAGCCGAGTCCTCATCGCCTGGCTCGCGTCGTGTCCTCCTCGATTATCCGAATCCTTATTTGTACGGCAATCACTATCATCATCATACGCCGCCCAGCGAGGACCTTGTTGCCCTTTGGTTTGGCAGCAATGGGACAGGTGAGTTAGATTATTATTCATAACTGATTTTTAAGAGTTTTTGATTTGACAAACTTTAGTCCCAAGTTAAGTTATTTTCTTGCAAACTCAAGTGTTTTAAATGGCATAAAATTAGCCAATCAATAACCGAAAAGCAGCTCATTTTCCCAGGGTATCGTGACATTTTGGTTAGACTGTCGCCAGTTTTGGTGCCCCATGTGTGTGTCCCCCTCCCCCCACATTACATAACTCACAGTCTATGTTGCAAATATGTCCATAATGCAGTTACTCAAAAACTATCTTGCCAGCTATAAATTGCCAAAATTAATCTGTGAATGAGCTGACAGCGAAACTCCGTCGCCCCTCTCACTCTCTAATGGCTCAATAAATAAAATGGAAATAAAATGAGATTTTTCGCGCACTTTAATGCCGCTCGATGGCAAATTTTCGCTGGCGCCTTGGCGCCCGCCGTCTACTTGAGTTTCTTGCTCGGTGATCGGGCCAGGCCAGGCCGGGCCAGTCGCTCTTTTGAAATGCTGCCAAAAGCCTGAAATTGAAATTTCAACTGCAAATGATGCAGTTCGTCGTCCGGCACTCGATGTTGCCACTGCTGCTGCTGCTCTGGCTGCCCTGGCTGCCCTGGCCCTTTCAACAGGTGGCACTCCAAGACGCCGCCATCGCACGTCTCATCGATTACTCGCCTCGGATTGGACGTGAGTGTGTGTCTTGGTCTTTTGGCTTTCGATTTTGGCGTTTTTGGCATTTCGCTCTTGGGCTCTTGGGCCAAAATAAAGTCAGCACGCCAAGACCACCCAAAGTGTGTCAATGTTGGCGCTGCAACGCTGGGAAGAGCGCCACGATGCGTACAAATTAAATTATATGTCTTGTGGCTTCGATCGAGGCCTAACGGCGCTATTTCCGCTTCGGATTCAATTAAAATTTTTCGGGCTGGGAGGTGGTGAAATGTCATCAATGAAGAGGAGGGGAATGCAATTTTTACTAAGGGTATGTCAACATTTTAAGGGAATTTTAATCACATATTTGTAAGTCATTAAAATGCATTTCCGACTCTAGAATGATCAGGAAAGATGTATATCAGACTGCTATGTGATTTACTGGCTAAATGCAAAAAATATTGAAACATTTTCATTTGTGCTTAAATATTTATACACAGATCGCATAAGAAAATATTGTAGATCAGTTAACTATATCTTCAAACAACCCTAGAAACTATTACTTATTTTACAACGAAAATTTAACTGCAAAGTGAAAAACCTTCGTTTAACTATATTTATATTCCAAGAATTTAATGAAAAATGCTAAAAGTGATCATTATATTATAATATTATAATTATATTATACATTTATTATAATTATTATTATTCATTATTCATTATTCTTTATCATTATAATTATCATTTTGTACCCCATATTTAACCCACAAAAAAGTTCTTCAAAGCAAACTCTGTCACAATTCCGGCCTCCTGGGTTTCCAATGTCAATTTATGGAAAATTAAAGACAAGCCCATTGCAGTGCTCGTATTTCCCAGATAGAGACACGCCACACAAATTGTCTTAATTAATTAATATCATAAATATGCGACGGCGCTTAATTGCTGAAAGGCAAAAAACAAAAGGCACAGAAGCAGCACAAGAACAGAAAAAAGCGAAAGAAAAACAAATCTCTCATGGCAACAAATTAGCCAGGAAATGACCCCGGCTGACCGAGAGGCAGTCAGTCAACGATCAGTGCTCAATGTTCAGCTTCCAAAGGCACTCAGTTGCACACAGCTGACTGACCCTAATCGACAGGAAGCTGACTCAATCTGGGAGTGAATCGCAGCAGCCCAGGGCCAAATGCAGCTGCTGCTGCTGCTGCTGCTGTTGCACTTCACTCGCAATCAATATTCATAAATCTTTTGGCAAGGGTTAACCAATTAATAACGTGACCCGTTTACTTTATTTCACTTCGGTTTTTCGCCTCCTTTTGTCAAATCAACCTGGGTGATCGTTCCGCGTTTCGTTTTCCAATGAAAATCGCAGCCAGAGAGACTCGCACACAAAGCCTTTCAGCATTTGTCAACAAGAGGCGACGTTGACACCGCCGACAACAAACACGATCGAATGAAAGCCAAAAAGCCAAGAAAACTGCAAGAAAATTAAGGCAACCATCCGGGCTCAGTGCACACATAGGAGACAGTGGGATAAATTCAGGTTTTATTATCAAAATATTATGATCTTTTAAGAAATACTAGAAGCCTTAACCTATTTGGAAACTTTGCACAAAATCGGGTAAAATAAAATGATTGTATTTATACTGTATCTAATTTAGATCCTATGCTTTATAGTCGAATGATCCATTAATTTATGAAGTATTGCATATAAAAACATAAATTTAACATGGCGAAGTTGATGGGCAAAAGGGCTTAAGGACATTTTCGGAAACATTCACCAGTAATTATTAAGATACCATCGCTTAATCCCCTAATGTAAGTTTCCTAAAATAAATGGGTATACTTTATGGATTAGAAATGGCTGTTTGGTGCCTGTTATTGCCTCTAAATGAGGCATCCCACTCGTATCCCTTTAGGTACCAAGTATTATAGTCTTTACCAATGAATATTGGATCGATAAACCCCACTATAGTACCCACTGTGCTGCGGCTGGGCAACCTTTGTTACCCTGCGCCGGAACGGAAATCGCTGACATGGACCACACCACAGCAGTCAAAGTCGGGGCGAAGCCAAGCAAACCGAGAAATGGCAAAGAACCGAACCGAAGCGAGGCAAGAAAACCAAGCCGGGCAACACATACAATCTCCAGAAGCTTTGGCACTCAGCGAGGCTTGCCTAATGTTTAATTAAGGTGATTGCTGTGCGGTCACCTGGCGATGTTTGCTGCTGTTTGCTTGGCGAACGACAACAACACCTCACGATCACCAAATTGGTTTGTAAGGATAAGCGTTGCCAGAGGAGAGCTAGGGGATCTTGAGTGGAAGAGGGTTTAGTGAGTGAAAGAGACCTGTGTCAAATGCTTGGGCCAAAGGACATCTCCAAAAGAAACGGGCAGCACCAGCAGCAATGGCCTTAATGAAGATTAATTGCAATCAGTGAGCCACTTGAGCCGCGATTAATTGCAGGAACCAGTGGACATGGAAATGGAACCGAACTTCCTCCTAGACTGCTGCTGCTGATGATGATGATGATGCCTTTCGGAGTGGTTCACAAGTTCACGACTGCAACGACGGCAACTTAATTGCCATTTACATGGAAGGAGGAAGGAAGGCCTGGGAGATTGTGTGTGATTGCTCCCGGCCATTCTCTGTTGGTGGCACAATGCAACTGATGGATGGATTGCATTCATCCCTCTGAAGTTACCCAGCCATTTGCATATTAGGCTGCTAACTTTGGCCAAACATAATCAACTTGAACGGTTCCAAATCGAATCGTTGCGTTAAGTCCACCATTAGCATAATTAGTGTGGGCCGGAAAAGTGTGCCACAAATGGCTTTGTCGTATAGGTCAACTTCATTATTATTATTATTTGTTTTTGCATTGTCACCTGACGGTCTGCGGTCTGCGATCGCCGATCTGGATGTTGGCGCCAACTCTGCGCCGTTGGCCAAATCAAATCAAATCGATTTGGAACTCTAAAACGTATAAATATCGAAGCCACAGCATGTGGGCTGATTTTTGGTCAGCTTTTGGTTTCTGCGGTCTGCATTCGACTTGAGTTATAATTTGTGTAAGCTTTTTGACACAACTTTCAAGTAGGAATATATACATATATTGCCATCATGGGTCTAAAAATAAAAACTTAACTCAGAAGCCGAAGGTCCAAAACATAACGTGGGATTAATTGGTTTTTAAATAGGCCTAAACAGCTTAAGGAGACAGTTCTGTAAATCAAATGCAACATTTCAATTAGGGAACTTTTTATTTATATTTTTTACATCTAAGACTTTTACTTGTTAGAGATATGCTATATTTAGATTTGTTAGCCAGATAAAAACTAGCATAGAAAACCTTTCAGAATTTAAATTAATGCATTTTTGGATTAGTTATGATATTTAAAAAACTTTGAATTACCCAAAATCATAAACATATAAAAATATAGTTTAGTATACCTAGAGTATAGATAGTTAGGGTTTCGTTAGAGGTATACGTGGGCTGAAAAGATATAAATCATATAGATTCCGATTTGTAATTCTTCTTTTTTTTATATATAATCCAGCTTTGCTCATTAAGGATGCTCATCAACATCAACCAAGTTTAGCCTCATTGAAGGAAGACCCATGATAAATGGATCGACGGCCTGAAAGATCTAGATAAATTTAAATTATTTGAAATGGGAATACTATAAGCAAAAGATAATCCAAAATTGATGGAATATTTTAAAGCAAATTAGTAAATATTCTTTTTACTTAAATATAATTGCATTCTGTTTGATTTTCTTTAAGAATGGCAAAATCAGGTGCACAGAATAACTCATTTATTTACCAAAATCATACTTATTTCCGCTTTTAATGGAAAATCCCCCTTGAAAGATCTTAATCTCAGATCTTAATCCATCTCTATCGACAAAGTGGTCTTCGTGATCTTGATAGAATATCCGCCCACACCTTTGGGGGTCAACCTGTTGGCGCCATTTGGTGGAACTCACTATGACTGCCCACGCACTTGATACAGAAATATATTAAATAAAAAACCCCTCTCTTAGTCAAAAACCACAATCTTTTAAATAAAACAAAATCAAAAGAGTGCTAGTTAAAAGACAACCAAGCGCTGAACAGAGTTCAGTTGAATTTCGTTGGATTTTCGTAGAAAAACCGCAAAACGCGTTTTTCATTTGCATAAAAAATTGCCTGTGCCCAGGCAATCGAACATGCGGCAGTGAGACGGATAGAATATGTATAGTTTGGTAACCGAGACCGAGACCAAGCCCCAGAGTTGATTTCATTCATTCATGAGGCACAAGCTCCATTCATAAGCCGAGCATTTCTAGTTTAAGGTAAGCCACAC